ACTGCACAGATATGTTAATTTACTGCTCATGCTGAATGTAAGGTCACAGTGTCTCACTTTTGTCTGTACTTGAGTGCTTATCACCTATTCAAGAGTGCCGTTTCTATTTACCTTGTGTATTTGGTGATTGGTCCTCAGTAAGTCCCTCTGAAAGAATACTGATCAGGTTTTCTTTTTTCTCTAACAGCTGCTCAGTAATTTCACAAGATGTAATGTAAATGTATTCATGAAGTAAAGTGAGTCCCTCTCAGCTCATGTTGATTGTGCTCGAGGAGGTGTTCATAAGTCTGTTGAATGTATTCTGCTTTTTTTTTAAGCAAGAAGAATGCAAACAGAACACCATATAAAGAAAAGCTTGACCTTTTTTTTCTGTTTCTGAATCTCTTTCTCTCCTACACACAATATGCATGTTGATTCCAATGGAAGACATATGGCTAAATCCCCTGTACTATTTGAGTATTGCAAGAGGTGATTTTGTGAAACATCCATTTATGTTTAAGCCCAGTGCACTTTTCCTCCTTGACCATTATTTTTAGCAGGCATTCAGTAAGATCTGAAACACAGTCCAGATGTAGATCTCAGACACAGTCGAAGAGGGTTAGTTTTTTTTAATAAAATATTCTGTAAAAGCATTTCAGTTCTTATGTTCAGTGCTTGTGTGAGAAAATAAAACTGATGATCTAGAATTTTAAAATATACTTTATTTTTATAACTTATAAAATGACAAGTGAGAGAGAATGGCAGATGGACTATTTGGCTTAAAGTTCTAACAAAAATGGAAACAGAACATGACAATAATCAGGCAAATATCATTGCATCAGTGAAAGTTCACACAGCAGCTTGGTTTAAAAGTATTGAAAAAGTTACCTGGCTGATTTGCAAGCATTTCAAATCAGCAAGAATTAACAATTTCTGCTACAAAAGACACAGAATACTCTAAAACTTTGTCCAGTGAGGCTACCTGTGTGTGGATCAGGCCTGATTTCTTCTGTTGGTGATTTTCTGCTTTGCATGAAATAGTTACAGGATTTGTCGGACTAAGGAGACAGAATATGTAATGGTTCATGACTAGCATAATAGTACAGTGATTAGGGTACTTACCCAGGAGGAAGGATGCTCCTAAGGGAGCAGGGGTGGGTAGTGGTGGATAAAGGTGCAGGTTCCTCTTGGCTCTGTATGAAAAATGTGTTTTTTGAAAAATGGTTTAAAAAAACCCAGTTGAAGTTAATATTCTTGGCGTTTGAGAGGTAATTTTTGGGAAAAGTAAGTATCAGAAGTAGTGCATGCTCAGAGAAATTCATGGAACTCTTTTTTCCATGTATGAAATGTTCTTATCAGGAACCATTCTGCTCCACATTTCCTTGCAAGGTTAAATAACATTTTTCAGGAAAATACATCTCAAACTTCTAAATGCTAAACTATAGTACATAAATATTTCACCTGAGACTCAAATTTTGTCGAAAAAGATGCAGGAGGCGCAATATTCTAGAAAGTCCACCTATAACTGTCAGGATGTCTTACTATATCTTCAAAATAATTATTCTTCATTTTTAATTTACACAATTGAGAGTGAAAAAAATGAGTTTGTGTGCAATGCTGGTGTTAAAACCAAATGAATGCCTTTCAGGATAAGGATTGTTTGAAAGATAAACATCCCATGTTGCTGAGTGAAATAGAAAGTGATGCATGGCTATTTTTTCTCCCTTGTTCATGTCTTACACATTTTAAATTAAGCTAGGCAACATATATAGATTCTTTTTTAGTTACCATTATAATGTTTATGTTCAAATTAGACTCTAGCAATGTACATCAAATACATTCTTGACCATTTATTTACTATTTTCATATATCTTTAATCCATGGTATGTGTTTGTTTGCTACAATGTGATGGTAGTATTCTATTCTCTGCCAAGATGTTAAAATAAATATTTGAAAATAATGTTATGACTCATGTTGCTAAGGTTTACTTCCAAGATCATGCTAGCAGCTTCCCCTAGGAAATACCCTTTTTTAAAAAAAAGAAGAGAATTGAGTATCCAAGTAATTTTTAGGTCACATTCAGTGAATAACATTGACATTATTTAAAATGCTATCTACTTAGTCAATAACAAGGGAAAGAATAGGACAGGATGTTGCAGGTAGGAGACAGATTTACAAAAATGTGCCTGAAAGCAGAATGGAAGCATTACTGAATGATTTTCAAATGCTTAGCATTTTCAAGCTGTCATGTTCACATTTTCTGTATATTTTTCACACACGGAAAAATGTCTGAAGTTACATATTTTTCATATATGACAGTTGAACTGCTTTCAGAATAAATGCCCTGCACTAGTAGTTCTGCAGTTAATTAAAACTGCTAAAAATTACTATGTATTTTACAAATTAAATTTACAAAGCTTCACCTCAGTCTATCCTAGAATTTAATATTTTAAGGACAGACCTAATAGACATTTAAATGCTAGATTCCCCTAAGCCAAAATTTTCAAAATGGATTCTTCACTGTGGAGTTAAGAATTCTAAGTTTTCTGCAGAGAGCTTAGTGTTTCAGAGAGAAATGTAGTAACTGGTGATGTAGATGTTTAGGGAAGCAGATATTTAGTATGTAGTGTCTGATTTGAGTCTAGTAGCTATGGATATAAGTCCAGAGAGCTGATTTCTATGTTCCCAGGCCTGTTTATACATTTTACATGAAAATTTTTTCAGTGACATTTTGAAGTAACTGGAAGAAAACAGAACCCCCCTCTCCTATTTCTGTTCATTAATATGGAACCTTTAAGCAGAAAGTCATACCCATTCTCGCTGGTTGGGCTGAGCTTTGTTGCAGGTTAAGAAACTTTGACCAGTTTCAAATGGAAAGATAAAGATTTCCTGATTCCACCCAAACCAGGATACCTTGATGGCTCTGGCATTCTTGTGGAAGATGAGGATTTGCATGGTTCCAATAACAACACGAGAAAAGATGTCTCTAGTATTAGAAGGAGAAAGGAGGAGTAGAGTGGCCTGTATTCAGATTAAAAATGACCATGTTTAAAGAATGTCATGTATTGATCTCACTTTTTTGAGATTAGTAAAACGACAGTGCATTCCATTTTCTCTCAATAGAAGAAATCACAATTTCCCAGTCCTGTAGGACACTGCAGACACTCAGTGCTTCCAGCAGAAGAGAAGCAATCCACAAAGCTTTCCTTAGAGCTCTTTCTTTTTCCCTAGTAATCCTGAAGTCATTCCTTCTTGCTTTCAGTTTACCTTCATTCTCCTTCTTTAATAAGACTCCAAGATCTTACAATTTACTTAAAACATCAACCTGATGCTTGTTCCTCCCAGATGTTTCAAGCGTTTAAGTCAGAAACTGGTAGCACCTAGAGAGTTTATGAATTTGAGCTCAGTAGGGGTTTTGAGCCTGCATCACCGAACTTAGGGCCTGGAAACCTACCTGAGACCTTTTTTCTCCTATTTTTGTACTGAAAATATTTTCTGTTGATAATACATATATAAAAGCTAGTTAGTTCTAAAACAAATGGAACAAAAATCCTCTATTCTTTCACAATGATAGGTTATATGAGTGAAGATTAACTCTTGCACCTACTTTACTACATTCATACTTCTACCTTTGACTCTCTTTTCCCATTATAGTTTTCCACTCTACCAGGTGGGTAAAATTTTATATATAAATTTGGAATGAATACATTTTAATTAATATGATAGTGAATGAAAAGATTTATTGAATCCTGTATTAAAGAACAGCACAAAACAACATGACTGAAAGTATACTGAAATAAACATAATAAATTTTTAATCTCATTATTGCAGTACATTGTTTCTGAAATTTAAAAACTTTCTAGAATAAATTTCTATCAGATCCTTTTCCCTTTGTTCTTTAGATTTCTATCTGTTGGCTTATACCTGGCAGATATGCGTGTATGCACTCATAAGTGAGGAATAGAACAGGGTTGAAGGAGGTGGATTTAAAGCTGCAATCAATTAATCTGTTGCTAGGGAACTGTCAGCTGCCCACTCAAAAAATAGCAATCAGCTAGCTGGAATCAGCAGGATATAAAATGGAATTACAAAACATTCCAGTCCCCCCTCTTGTTTGGTTTTTCTTTTTTTTTTTTTCATTTTTACTTTACTAGTGCTTTTTTTTTTGATGGGGGAGGGAAGTTTGATAGTAAGGGTCAAAATATCATACATGTTTCACTTTTAATTGAGGCTCTTAATTAACTGGCAGCAGTAGTTTGGGCTTGTATTTGGCTATCTTTATCAGTGTTAACCAATATGAAGTAGAGTGCTGCAGCGTGTGGAAATATTTTACAGAAGAGCTCGTTTGACCACACCAGGTTAGCTTAATGTGGTCTGATCTGGAAATACACTGAAAATCATAAGCATTTTTATGGAATACCAGTTAATTAAAGCTTAATGAATTTCGGAGTGAGTTGTGGTTTGCAGAGATAAGAGATGACTCTGCCTGATACATATGGAAGCAGAAGATTTCATTTCACTGACTTAAGAGCTCACTCAAGTAAGTGAGGGATTGCAGACTTGAAACTGAATTTTCCCTACGAAGTTCAAATGTGATTTTTGACTCTGGGAAAGTATCTGTCACAGGTTGTTTCAGGCTTGTTTTGTTTGTTCTGGCAGAAAAGGTCTTGTTTTGAAATGACTTTCGCAGTGTGCTTTTACTTTGAAACTTTAGAGAAATGTTAGAGTAGGAGAACAGAGTTTCTTACTAATGATAGTTTCCACTGTTATTCTTTAAATGTACTGTTTCTGTAATCTTTGGTATTCGTAGTTTTTGATATTAATGTTAAAGACTAAAGTGAAGCACTATTAAAATTATGCACGAACTCCCTAAGTTTTTTGATGGTCATCTGAGGCAGAATAGACTGGTCCTTGCTGAACAGTGTTCTCACATGACTTCTAATTGCAGAGGATAAAAAGCTAGGCTAAAGTTTGAAACATTCTTCTAGTCCTATGATTTTGATTCTTACTTCCATTTCTAGATATGTTGATGTACTGGAGAGGCCAAAGGGAGCAAAAGAGAAGATGGCGGACTCGTTTGTGGTCATTCTCCTTTTCTGGAGATCGGGGGAACTACGTACTGGGCAGCCTCACCTGGATCCATGAGAAGGTGATGGAGCGAATAATCCTGGAAACCAATTCCAAATACAAAGGCAGGAAGGTTATCTGGAGTAGCTGACTTAGATTTACAAAGGTGATATCAAGCTTGACCAACTTTTCTGGCCATGGTTTTGAGGAGCCAGCTCTAACAGACCCTGTTCTGAGCAGGGAAATAAGAGTATATGATGACCAACCTCAGTGATGTATTGGAAATAATTAAGATCACAGTTTATTTCCCGATTGTATAAAGAGTCTTTTTTTTCGTTGGATACTAAGGAAAAGTTAAAATTCAACATCTTTTCGTTCAGTTGAACTGAATTTTCATTGTCTCTATTAACAGTAATTAGTTTTCCCTAATTTTGGCTTTCTTTTCAGACATTGCACAGGCAATGTCAGTGCAGACTTATTAAGAGAAAATAGAAGACAAATACTCCTCAGACACATGAATGGCTGAAAACATCAACTTCATTGCTATAGGAAAATAGCTTGTGTAGCAAAGAGGCTAATAATAATGTTGACAGATATGTTGGTGTAACCCTTATCTTCAGTGAAGCTTATGTAGTTGTTTTCCTACTTATCTCCTTTTTTCTAAGATCATTTTACTAGGATAAGATGTCTAAAATCAGATCTTTCTTTGTACATCCCTCAGTGAAATAAATTGACTTTGATTACTGACAAATAATGGAGAGTTTATTTTTGAGTGAGAACTGCAGCAACCTGTTTGATGAACTAGGAAATTCAAAGGTGCTCAGGAAGCAGGTGTGTACTAGTATTTTTAGAAAGGGTAGAACTTATATATTTCCCCTACACAAGAACTTTCAAACAAAATAAATAACAGTATTATTGAAAATCTGAAGCCCTCTGAACTTTGAGGGCTACATGGATTTCATGGTACCTGAGTGTGAATGCAGAATCACTTATGTATCTAGCTCAAAATCACTGATTTGGAAACTTACACAACATGAAGGCAAATAATTATCCATCACCTTCTGCATCCAATATAATGTATTACATTTATTACTTTATGCCATTACAGAGTAACTGACACTTTCAGCTCTATGAGCAAACTCTCTTTTATGTTGGCTGCAACATAAAAATATCAAGGTATCAGCAAATGACTTTTTACTTTACTTTTTTATAGTATATTAAATCCGCAGTTCTGACAGAGGAAGTTAAATATTAGTAGTTTGTTTGGGTTTTTTTAAAGTATAGGAGTAAGCACTGAACAAGTTTGTTCCAAGACCAGTACAAATGATGATGACCTCTTTTTATAGATCTGAATAATTTCCATCCTTACTGCAATAATGTTAATATTTGTTGGCAAGAGGGAGCACATATGGTAGTTAATATTGAGCTATGTACATGTTAAATGACTGGCAACTGGGTTCACGCTACTGGACCAGACAGCTGCAGCCAAACAGTTGTATGTAATGTCAAAGAGTTATATTAGTTTTTTTCCATATGAAAGTATTAATTTGATCCGCTCCCATCTTATTAACAGAATTTTCATGAACACTTGTAAGAACGTTATTTTTGAGAATATATTCTGCCTTTGAATTGGTAAGATGGGACAGAAAATTTAGTAGGAGAAGTTTTGATCTGAAGATGGAAAGACAGACATTATGATCTCAAAATACTTTCTTTTGGAAACCAGAGTAAAATAAGCATTTTCTGACAGTGTACCTATAGCTGTCTTCTGTGCAGCAAAGTATGTTATAAGTCAGATGATACTGCTCTTGACATTTTTAATGTTGAGGTGTGTAGATTTTTAAAACTATGAGATAGCATTATTGGACTGAAATTATTGGACTATATAACATTACATTTCATTTTCTCTAAAGTATTATAGCATATTTTCTGTAACTAGAAATAGACTCAGATGTCTAAAGGAAAAAGCCAAACAAAAACCAGTAGCAACAAGTTTTTTGGCCTTAGTATTTGAAAGAGAATTGAAATTATACTTCTGAGTGAAGGAGAAAATAATTGACAATATTCTGAACTCTTTAAGATTTCATGCGAGATATCATTACCAAAAGCTCCAGTTCTGGAAATGGGCAGCTGATAACTAAATTTACTCGTATATGTGGTATTTGAGTAATTTATCTGTAAAGGGGTGTTGACTGACGAAATGGTAAAAAAAAATCCCAGCACTCAAAACTTCAGAAAAGTGACCTGGAAATGGTGAACAAGAAACTACCAGCTTAAAGTCAAGGTGTTGTTTACTAGTGCCTATCAATTTAAGACCTAAACTATTAAAAAAAAAAAAAAAGACAATGAGAAAAGACAAGAAAAAAGGTAGATGTATCTTCTCTTTTGAGGTGAAAATGTGTTGCTGAATGGACATATGATAATTGTAAACAATTAGAACAAGGGAAGGTACATTTTTTGTGTTATAACTGTGCCTCCAGGGTGTCCCAGATAATTTTTTTGGTATTTAATGTCTGTGTAGTGTGCAATGAAACTATGGTCCATGAAGAACCCACATTAGGCATACAGGGAATCAAAATAAACAATATTTTTGAACGTGAAGAAATAAAAAAAGCCCTTTGAAAACTGTTGCTAATCCTTAAGCAGATTCTGAGATGAAAAACTGAGGCACGAAAGTCAGCAGTGGCAGTGGTGGTGACTGAATTGGTACTTTTAATTATTGTCTTCACCATAATGCAATTGCTCTTATCAAGCATTGTTCAAGGAATGTTGTTCTGGTTGTTTTTTTTGTCTGGCCTTAGTCAGTCTTCACAATCTGAAAAAGTTTTGTTTAGAAATCATCTCAATCTTCATCTGAACATGTAAGCTACTTTTCTCAAAAATATTATTTAGAAAGGATGTATTTTTAGTGACAGCTGCCAAACCTTTTTTTGATAATACACTTGCACTAAACCAGTTTCTATTTAATAGTACTTCAGCTGTGAATTTTATTGATTTGGTTTTGTGCAAATATACTGCAGAATTTGGACTTTTCTGTAAATGTAGAAAAATAAACTAACAGTTAATCTTATCTATCTTTCTTAAGGAGAAGTGACAAGGCTTAGGGGCTATTCTAGTATATTCAATACATTAAATAAAAATTTTGTAATTCTGAGATCAAACAAAAGCAGGCAAATATCAGATATTGCTATTTTTTTTACATTGAATATATCAGATTTACTATAAGATCTGCTATGAAACTACAGTAGAGGAGAACGAGGGGAAGAACACGTGTCTTATCACAACTAAAAATGAGTTTAAATATAGGAAAGCGATAAAGCTTAGTGAATATGTGAAGGTCATACTACTATTCCTTAACACTTGGTCTTGCTATATATGATGTGACTATACATTGAAGAAAAGAAATGTTATTTCGTGAAAAATATATATTGCTTTGCATTTTCTTTCCTTTTAACATTTTCTATGAAGAGTAACAAAAATGTGAGGCAGGATAATTTGGTATAATAGAAATGTTGCATATCATCATTATGTTGCCCTGGCAATACTAAGCATTTTACTATGCTGGTCCATTCATTATTGCTGATGCATAGAGCTTGTACTTTTATGAGTTCATCAGTGTGAATAAACTCATCTGTGTATCCACCAGAAATGTACTTGTATGTTTCATGCTTGATAAGAGAAGTGTCAGAAATGACAAACTTTGCCACACTTGATTAGTATCTTGAGTTTACAGATTATCTAGACTACTTCTTGGTATCACTTTTGCTGCTGAGGGTACCAAACGGGATCACCCCTCCAAGATTTGATACTCTTTCACAGTTGTGCTTTAGGAATGATACTCCAAGACCCTTTAAAGCACATCCTGCTCTCTCTCTCTCTCTCTTTCTCCTCCCTTCCCCTTTCCACTGCATTGGGATGGAGTTGAGAACTGGAAACATGAAAGGTGAAGATCACGGGTTGAAATAAGAACAATTTACTGAAAATCACAATGAGATAAGAAAACAAACAACAACAGCATCAATATTAACAACAAAAGTATACAAGAAAGAGTGATTCACATACAAAAATATTCATTGCAGACAGTGAACAATACGAGATGGTTCCCCCCCCATGTTTTTTTTATGGGAAGGAACACCTTTCTCCACAGCATTGAGTGAGAGGCCCTTTCCCTTGCCCCTGGCAATGATGTGAGATGGTATCCACTAAGATTAGAGTCCTGAATGTGCCATTAACCCTCTCCTGGCCAGAACCAGGACACACAAAATGGCAAAATCATAGTTTCCCAGGCAAAGTTTCTTATAAAGCGTATGCATGTGCTGATGTCTTCGGTGTCTTCCATTTCACTTCATCCTTGTTTCAGGAAGACTGTAACACTGCTTGTGCCTTTGAGGAAAAAGAATGACAGCTGTCACTCCTGATTGAGATGAAAATTTATTCTTGCCAAGGAATGAAATTTTAAAAATGCTTCATATCTTTCCTAAAATCTGAATGGACTTTTGGGCAGTTGAAGTGGTTCTGTATTAGTAGTAGGTACCACATCATGAATTATTGAAATTTGATGAAATATGATGAATTTATCATCATATGTAACTTAAATAAGTTTTCAGTGTTAGTAACCATAGTAATGATGGCATCTAGCACTTACAGAGCTTCTACTTTTAAAATGATAGCAAAGATGCCTGTGTTTTTCTCCAAATGTACAATCATACCATTCTCCTCTTTTTCATGATAGCAGAACATTTACCAGCATACTTTAACAAACTGCAGTCCCTCTCTGACTGATGGGCACAAACAGGTAGAAAAAAAGCCTATTATATGTAATCTAGTCTATTTTTAAAGGAAATCTTTTCTACACCGGCTAGAAGAAAAGAACTTCAACCATACTGGGTTTTTTAGAGGCAGATTATTTGTAAACTATTATTTCCCCCCCTCTAAATAACTATTGAGCTGGAATTAGGTATTCTTGGTAGCAGAAATATAAGGCAGCAAGGATAGCTGAACTCTAGAAACATTGTGGACAGGTGACATGGAAACTTTGGAATGATAGTGTGTGTTTTATTAAGATTTGTCTGTGATGGAAATAATAATGGATGCTGTACATAATTACATGCTCGTATGCACCACTGATTCTTCTCATTCCTGAATAGAAACAGGTGAAACATGATATTTGAAATTTGTGCTTACTAATGGGATATGAAGGTATATTAATTTCTTGTCTCTGTTGGGGCTTTTTCTTGTAAACCAGTGCTTGAGAGTATGCTAACACTGGTGCAGTTATAATTTCTCATAATGGAGGCCAATGGCTTATTCTAAAGGATTCATTGGCAAGGCTGCTGTTCTAGGCCATAAACCAAAAGAGAAGAGGAGGAATAAAGGTAATTAAATCATAACAGGACGCATTTAAAAAGTGCTGGAGAAAGACGGTCATCTCTAATCTACCTGTCAAAAGTCTATAGCCTAGGCATTAAGTAGTAGAAATGCAAATGACATAGAATTTTGCCTGGTAGCATCTGACTTTAAAGGGTTTTTGGTATATGTGCTTGATTATTTACATCTGTGTATTTTAAATTAAGATAAGAGAAGGAAACACTGATCAGTGAAATTCAGTTTTGGGATTATGGCACAGATGCATTTCCCATCATAATTTAGAAATCTTTCTGGCTTATTTAATTTATAAAGCACCTTAAAAAGTGTACTATTGAGAAGTTTTAATATAAGTATGTATGCTTACAAAAAGGTATAATTAGACCATCACTAACAAATTCTTTGTAGTTAAATTTGTGTCTACTAAACAAAAATATAATACAAACCTCCCATGTCACAACATATGTGTGACTTGAAGATCTGAGACATTACAGTTCTTGTAACACAAAGATGGTTCCCACTGGGTACATGTGGCTGCATAAAATGCATTTCAGACAGTGGAGGTTTGTGAAGGATAGTGGAGGTTTAAGCACCTTAAATGAGTAAAACACACATGTGGATTTCTTCTCCAGGTAACTCAGCTGCTGTTCACATGCAATCTACCATGGCTCTTGTAGCTGTCCACAGGAAGGGGACATTATACACACTTATATAACAATTTTTAAATAAATAACCCCCCAGAAGAGTACTGCTGAACCACAGGGTGAACAGAATTTCCAGATTCTGACCTGCTCCTCAGGGTAGTCAAAGGTTTTGTAGGTTGGGGTTACTGCTGAAGGGGTATGAAAGAAAGGAATATTTTGGGTTGGTCAGAGTTCTGTTATGAAAATCTTTAACCAGTGTAAGTAGAAATAGGTAAAGCATAAAGCAAGTAACTGTTAGAGCACAAATGACTACTATGATTCATTGTTCTAATTAGGCTGAAAAATGCAAACTTGGAAAGAAACACAGATAAGTATGTACATTTCTACACAAGGAATTTAAGAAACATCATCATGAGATGTTATGGCTCAATTTTAATTTAGTTTCTACTGTTGGTGAGGCAAGATACAGAATGACATATTTTTTGACTCAGTGATGCAAACTGCACATGAGATAAAAATGGAAATTTTATTATTATTGGCAAAAAAAAATAATTTTTTCTTGGTTTTTGAAGTGCTTGAACTATTTTTCCTCGGGAATTCTAGGTGTTGTTTTGATTTGGTTTTTGTTTTTGTTTGTTTGTTTGTTTGTTTTGTTGTGGGTTTTTTTCCAGAAAAGCAGCTAGTTTAGTGTTACAACTTCTCTCTAGGTGCATGCTAAAGTTCTTTCACTAAACAGACACATATACTTTTAGATCATCCAATAAAGGCAATTCTATGCCTGAAACATTTATAAACTGTGATCCTAATTGCAATTTCAAAGGGAAAGGAAGATGATGAATTAAACTGCTGTGACTTCCTCAGGTTTATTTTTTTTCAATACCATTAGAAAGTGTCTCAAAAAAACCAAAATAGTTGAGGTCTCTTATTCCTAAATTCTCCTGGTAGTGGAGGAATTTGGCCATGCAATTCCATTATTCTGAGGGCTGATTGACTAAATCCAATGCAACTCTGAGAAATTAACCCTGCTACACTGATTTGTCATCATCACTGTCTATTAGTCAATTCTAAACCCCTAGACCTTGTGATGAATAAAGTATTCCAGTAAGTTCAGCATTTAAAATTCCGTTAAATTACATTCTGAGTTTTTAAACTCAATTATCATGAAATCAATTGTAAAATTTCTTTCTACTAAGAAGTATGAAGAAAATCATTATTCTAACTTACAGCAAATGCTAGATTTTTATGCTGCTGTATGACTTATGGTATCCTGGTGTATGTACTTAGAGCAGGGTAAAAGATTCTTAAGG